AACAGGAGACTTATGTGCTCTTTGTCCAGGTTTTCACACAGTTTTTTAAACATTCTTGAGTTAATTGGTCTTTGTTTAATAAAGTTAACCATTTTTGTAGCATCATCCAGAACTTATTTCATCCCCAAGAAGTTTTGACACCAACACCTCTCTGTGAAAAAAGCAATGTGTGGTGACAACATCAGGATTTTCTTTTCTTACAAGACAAATGAAACCCCTCATGGAGCCAACCATTGATGGAGCACCATCAGTACAGATGCTGACACAGTTCCTCCAAAACAGACTTTTAGTTTCCAGATATAAACACAAAACATTAAATATATCTTGGCCGTTGAATGTTTCATATAGTTCTTTGCAGCAGAAAACGTTTTGTTGAATTTCACCATCATTTACAAATCTTACAAATGCTATAACATGACATTTATTGATGAAATCTGTTGACTCATCAACTTGGGTAGAAAACCTGCTATTCTTCAGTTTATCACACAAAACCTCTTCAGCATCATGTGACATGTCATCAATCTGGTCCTACCATTTTTCCCACTATTATTTTACATGCTGGCATGATTACTTTCTTACCCAAAGCATGACTTTTCCTTTGCTGTGTAATAAGTTCTGCTACTAAATAACTTGCTTCTTGGGCTTTTTTACTGACGTCATTTTATTAACAAAAGCTTTACTCTGTTTTGTGAGTCCAGTAGCTATTTAAAATAATCAGAACTTTCATTTGTCATAGTCTTCAGGTATGCCTCAGAACTTGTTTTGTACAGTTCTATTTCAGCTTATTCTGATTTAGCTTCCAACTTGTTTAGTTCTACCTTCTGAAGTTACTGAACTGAGGGCAATTCCTAATGTCCTTCCTGCAGATCTTTAATTTCTTTATTCTGATGTTCTAGTTTTGTTAGCTTGTCAAATCTGTCAATAATATCAGCCTGAAGAGAACCTAATTTTCCTTCTAGATCTTATTTTTATTGAATTAATGTGGAAATATTATCTTCCATTTTATGCAACTCACCTGTAAAGAATTGTTTGAGAGAAAGAAGCAGAGGAATCAGGCTTGGCTTCTTCCAATTTTGTTTCTTCCTTACTGTGTCTCTTCCTACTCAGTTTTGATAAATAAAAAGTAAGTTTACACCCAGAATTGTCATTTATTAAATGGAAACATTGCATTGTAATTTATTAAAGTATACCATTATGAGTAGAATATCAAATCAAAGAAAATTTAATAATAATTAAATGTCATAGTATGTAAGTGTCCAAATAATACAGTGTGAAACAAAAAGAAACAAAGCCCATAAGCACATTAAATTCTAAAAACAAATATTTTAGATAATCAATCTTCACACTAGAAATGTAAGCATTTGAATCATTCTCAAGCTAAGTCAAATTTTGAAGTTATGAGCCACCATTTCACTTCCCCTTCCCATCCATATCTAGTTTGATTTCTTCATCTTCTAAAAGATAAATTCAACCTCTCTTAATTGCCCTTGGATTTTATCTAATCTGTTTTTCTTCCCTGACTTTCTGCTTAACAACACTAAAGTCATATCTGACTGCTGTTCAACAGCTTGCCTAGTCTCTTGCTCTTGTTAAGCAGTTTGTGCACTTCACATCTTCCCCTTACATTACGGTGTATACCAGTGTACTGTTGTCTTTTAGTTTGACTTCGCTCTGTATCCCTAGTTATATCCCTTTTGTTTTACAGTGCTACAACTCTTCTTTTCTGGACTTATAATATCAGTTTTTCAAAACATTACTGGGTACTGAATAGTGTTCAGAGGATTTTTCACCTCTGATTTCTGGAATTTTAATCAGTTCATTCCAAGGTTTTTGTTATTCTGACAGAAACATTCTGAAGTGAAGATTACTTCAGCACACTTCTAATGGCAGAGCAATCTTTGCCAATTTCCCCTTCCCTGTATTTCCCAGTGCCTCTGCCAGAGGATCCTTTAACCCCCTAGAACCAATGTGGTTATTCTACAAGATCCTTCCAGTCTTCAGAGCAGATGCTTTCTTTTAATTTTTATCTCTAAGTTACTGTGGAATCAGGTGGCCTCGAAATTGAAATTTTAAATAAATATCTGATAAAAGCATTATGACAGAAGGACAGCTTTTCAAACCATTGACTTTTGCTGGATCCAACTTACTATTTACATTACTTTCATAGTACCAGTACTAGCTTCCTGAACAGAGCACCAAAGAATGTGGAAATCAGAATTTGTAACTTACTAGCTGTTCTCTCTCTTTTGCAGTTTGGCCTCTTTGATATAGTCAATCTTTTCCAGCTTTTTTGGTACTGCTACCCTTCTTAATTACTTAAAATTGTTTTTTATCTTCCTGCTTCCTCTAAAAGGTCATTCATATATGTTGCTTTATTTTAGAAAAAACCATCAAAGTTCTTGTGATTCTATTACTATCATACCATCAGAAACGATGCAGAGGAGATCTTATGTATCTTATTCACTCACTCAGATGTTCTTTAAGTATGTGATTGCAGTTATTAGTGAAGCACAAAGGGGAACTTCATGGTCTTTCACTTTTCATTAAAGCACAGTCCCCAGTAGTCAAGACCAATATGTGCAACGATGAGGCATGTTAGGAGTATATAAATCAACCAATATTTGCAATGATGAGGAGTGTTGGGAGTTATAAGTCAGCAACATCTAAAAGGCCATAGATTCCATACCTCTATGGAAATCTTTCATTTCAAAAAGTGAAACCCTTTTTCATATTTTATATGTCAATACAGATAGACTGTTTATGTTGAGAAGATTGCATAAAAAATGTAAGAGGCAGCCTGCTACTTCATTCTGTTTCCCATATGGGCAAAACAAATGGTAATGGGAAGCCCCACAAGCAAGACTTGTAGCCCTTCCTTGCTTATGTTGATTTGTATTGAAAATGACTTATATTGAAAAATATACTATCCCTGATTTTGGTCATATAGTCATCATAGCCATTGATAGTTTTAGCCTCCATGAATTTATCTCATACTCTTTTAAGTAGGCTGTCATTAGTACATCTTGTTGATAGCATCTTTTGTTGTCCAGGTTATATACTATGTAGACCAGTTTAAATACTATGTGAAATGTTAATCCATCATTCAATTTTACTAGATCACCCCAGTTTTTACTGTAGTGGGAAATAAAGCAGTCTCTGATTCTCTCTGTTCACTTTACTAAGGACAACAAAACTCTGTACATCTCTATTAATTCCCCTCTCCATTTAAATACTTTCTAAAATAAAGATATTGTAGATTTTTCTTCATAGAGGAAATTTTCCAGCTATCAGATGATTTTGACTGACCTTTTCTAGCCTGGTAATAGCTCTTTTTGAATGGACAATCAGTATTACTGTGCACAGTAAATCAGTACTAAGTCATTATGATGCTATCTGTATCATCCTTATGTTTATGTTGAGCTGCAATTCCCATTTTACTGCTGACTCACTCATCTTGTATGGATCCTTTTGAACTCTTCACAGTCCCTTTCATTTTTACCATCTGAATATTTAATATTGACATAGAGATCTCATTACTTATCTTTAATTCTCGTTAATTTATAAAGGGATTTAAGAAGTCATGGTACCATTAGATAGTTATTCTCCCTAACCCCATTTTTGGCTAATCAGAAACACGTTTAGCTTTCCCAATGTATTCATTAATTTACCTCACATTAGATGCTTCTAATGGCTTTCCCTTGTGATCAGTTTAGAAGCTGCTCTACTGTACACATATCTGATTCAGTTTCCTGTACAGTTAGCATGGAATGGCCAAATGCTTAATTTCATCTGGGCATATATGAACATCATAAATGTAGTTATGATTTTATTTTTGCATGTCATTGTTCCTTTTATCCATATAAAAGAATATGGCTTTCCGAGTTATCGCTTGATCTAAATACATACTGTAATTATGCTTTTTATTTCTGATTCTGCTTTTAGTCCCTTTCTGAAGTAACAAAGATTTATAATTGTGCTCTTTGTGTATAGATATGCAGAGCCTGGAGAAGCTGCTCAAAGATGCCATTGTATATGGGCAACCTCGCACACACAGGCCATGGAAAAAAATTCTCATCATTGTTGAAGGCATATACAGGTACAGGCCTACAGCACCATTCCATTGGTGTTCACCATATTCAGCTGTTGTTCATTTTCGTTTTGAGGCAAAATGTAATCAAAGCCAAAATATAGGATTCTCACTACTTGATCTTGGCAGTTCTCTTTACTTTAACGTAGCGGTAATAAGTATACATGCCCCAAGTAGGACTAATACTAATAAATCTAAATTTAAAATGTAAATATGTATATAGGGTGTTTCAAAACTGAAACTTAGTGTTCATCTCACTTCTTTCGTACATATCAGAAATGGAAAAATCTCCACCCTATGAGTCAAATCCAGTCTCCATTTGTTTGTTTTTTGGCCATAGTTTTTACTTCTCACTATCCGCCAGATTAACTTTGGTAATACTAAGCAAGCTTGATTCAAAAGGAGTAAGCTTCCTGTGGAGTAAGTGGAATGCCGGTATGGTAGCAAGCAAAAGTGATCTTGTTTCTACTCTAAGCTGTGTAGCATGGCATGGTAGTCTGTTTTACGCACAGACACATGGACATTTTGGGGAGCCTGGGTGAAATGAAAGAGTGCGTCAGTATTTTAAACAGAAGGCTGTTTCCAAAGCTTTACTACAAATGTAGTCAGATTTTTCCGCAAACCAAAGAAATATGCTGTTTTTGTTGGATTTAAAATGTTAAGTAATAGTTTTAAAAATGGCAACATTAAAAGTCCTTGCCATGATTTGTAAAGCAACTGACATTCTGATTCTTGAATACTAAATACTTGTTATACTAAAAGGTTTGGTATTTTCCCTGTCTACATATAAACCTAATATACATGGTTGCAAAATAGCTTCCCAACTTTTGGAGATAGATAACCCTGCTCAAAATTTGATCCCTGAAGTTTGGCCACTTCCTTTTCCTTTCTAGTTGAGGCCTATGACTCCATGCCTGATTGCTACATATAAGATCTTCTGACAGTTTTTCTTATAGAAGCATAAAGGCATACTGTGTATAAGTGTATCTACTGCCATTATTACAAAATGTTGGGTGAACCATTTTTAAAGTTGATTTTGGCACTACTAAGAGATTCTCAATTTGATCTCTGCTTTTCTATAACAGCATGGAGGGATCCATAGTCCGACTACCTGAAGTAATTGCTCTTAAGAAAAAATACAAATCTTACCTGTACATGGATGAAGCTCATAGTATAGGAGCACTGGGTCCCAGTGGCCGGGGCGTAGTTGAATATTTTGGACTTAACCCTGAGGATGTGGATATTATGATGGGGACATTCTCCAAGAGCTTTGGAGCTGCTGGAGGATACGTTGGAGGCAAGAAGGTAAAAATAGTTATTGGGAATTTGGCTGATTGTAATGAAAAGAAAAAGCTTCTAACTGTAATATTAGCAATGTACTGATTTCAGAATGTGGAAGCTGGCCATTAGAATCTCTCAGATAAAAAGACTTGTTTCCAAAATGCTATGGACATATTTATTTAAAGTCACAAGAAAGAACCAGATAGCTGGTTTTGTACTATACTGTTTTTGCTTTGTACTGTTTTTATGTGTTCCTATTAAAAATGCATAGCCCAAACAAGTATTATTTTACTACCAACATTTTAAAGTTTTAAAGCCAGAAGGTTAGTGACAGTAGTCTGTTCTAGGTGCTAGAGGTGTCTTGCTCAAAGAATGAAATAATATAAAATAAAATATTGCTGTTCAAGGCTTATTTGATTATTGTTTTAGTGAAAATGTCACCTCTTACAAGGATATCATGATAGTAGAATTGCTCACTTTCCTGCATAATTAATATGTCTGACTGGCCTTTCTCATGTATGTTGCTATACATATTTCCTTCATTAATACCATGATATTAACATATGTCTGTGCATTTCCTGCTAGCGAAAGAAGATTGGATTAATTATATCAGCATTTATCTGTCTTTTTTTTAAAATAACTACCATACAGTTCTACTAAAACTTTGTAGCACTACTCACAAATAAGCTTTATACATATTTGGGTTTATGCTAATACTATGTTCTCCTTTCAGATGTGTGGAGATACATATATTCTGGGCTTTCTAACCATATATATTGATATTCTTTTCATAATAGTAAAATACAGTGAAATTAAGGCCAAACATAGGTGAAAATTTATATTGGAAGATGGCCACCTTTTGAAAGATAAGTGTTCCATACTGATGTACTCTTTATATGAGTTGTTGATTTAATTTACTCTGGAGAGATAAATCCGGACCTTGTTTATACTACATTAGACAGTGTATACACTCTCTTGCCCACCATATAGAATTAGAATGTAGTAAAGTTTCCTCATTATGTTCTAGTTTTCTGAAAAAAGGAATATTTGTATGATAAGCATTCAGTTGTGTGAGCAACCTGTGATATAAAGAAATAAAGCCCTAGTAGAAGTTTCTCATTTCAATGAAAACAAGGCTTTATTAAGTAAGAGAATAATTAATGTACTCCTCTACACTTTGCTTTTCTCTCATTCTCATTTCACCATTGACTAATTGTATTTCCAATTTTATGTGCGTTAATTTCTCTTTTGGGGATAGAAAGACCATACCAAGTATGCTTAGCAGCCCATTTATACCTGTTCTTCTATATCAGACTCCCTCAACAGATACATCCCATGAGGGCTGAGGACCCACTGCAATCATCTAAAAGTTTGAACATATTGGTGTTATCTGGGAAAGACTATGTACATCAGTTACTTCAAACTCATAGCCACATTGAATACAATTTTAAAGTTCAAAATCAGATGGTTATAATCTCTTCTGATAACATAGCAACAAACCTAATTGTGGGAGTTACAATGGAAGTTGGAATTTCACAGAGCACAATGCTGATTGTTGGAACCCAACTGCTATTTAGCAGCAAGTTTGAGAAGTACAAAGCAAGGTCAATTAAGCAGTGAGAAAGAATTGCCAGATTTAAACTGCAGTGAGTATAAGAGAGGACTCACTCTCATGTTAACAGAGGGCAATCAATTGCTTAAAGTGCCTTAATTCTAATATTTAACAGATTCTAATCTAGCCATGCCATATCTTCCGCAAGAGTGGGCTGGTGAGCCTGACACCAATCAACTTCGTTGTGTTTTTTTTTAATCTCTTTAAGACAGTTTGAAATTGGTTCATCTCACCGAACTTTCCCATAATGACTCACTAGATAGATGCATGTCATCACATGAATAATCTACCATTGTTTGCTTTGCTAACTGGTCGACCCTAGCTTCTGGGGGAGTAATCGCGGGTTGAAGACGTCTCCATTTTTGTGGAACTGAGGGCCTTAGCAGTTAAGAGGAGCTGATGAAGGATCCAGCTCTTCGGAAGCATCTCTGGACAAAGAAGATGATTAGATCACCCACAAGTACTCCTTACAGAGGCTCCCTGTGATGAGATCACAAATTAGTGATCTCCAGCAGGTTGAACACTCTGGGAGTTGCGGGAAACATTGAGCCCAAGCCACAGCTCAGAGCCTTTCAAAAGGATGCTAGGTTCACATACACTTCCTCTTTTAAATGATAAAGGAAACTACCTATTAACAGTTTATTTGGAATTAAAAACCTTCTGAAAGGCAAGTTGCTACGTACTGGGAGAATCTCCTTCTATCTTTGAAGAAAGAAGATTTAACTAAGTTTAAAAAGAAAAAATACTTTAAATTTTGAAACAGCAAAAGGGAGTTTAGAATCTTGACTGTGGACAGTTAAGGGGCCAGATGGATTTGAAAGAATAGTTTTTATAAACTGTTTTAAATGCTATAAAAATACAGCTGAAGATTTTGGAATTAACTGTAAGAAACCTTAATGTGGGAAAGTTTTGACTCTGAAAAGAAACAAAAGATAAGCCTGGGCTTTGAAGGTTAACTAGAGGGAACCAGAGAGCAATTAAAGGAGGAGATACTTATTAACATAATGGAGGAATGTAATCTTACTATAGAGAATTTAAGTCAGTTGAGGAACAATGTGTTCAGGATTTATTTTTAAAACTTTTTGATACTCCTAAAGTGGAGTTAACAGAGGTTATAGAAGAATAAAAGATTTTATTGGATAAAATAGAGGCTGAAGATGATTCCAACAGGGATCTTAAAATGGACTTTAGAAAGGTGTTAGACTGTAAAAAAGATATGGAAGACACGGAAGAAGATGTTGTGGATTTGAAAAGGAACTTAAAAATATTTGACTATAAGAGTTATGGAGAAAGAAGCTGCATGAGACCAACAAATTATGCTAAATGATGTTTTAACAATTAAAAGGGATATTCAGATTATAAATCAGAAGAGTGACTCTGAGAGCCATTTTATTTTGGATCCACAGCAGAGAAATACAGGTAGTCCTTGCTTAATGACCACAATAGGGAACAGAAAATTGGTTGTTAAGTGGGGCGGTCATTAAGTGACTCACCATGTAACTGGACCCAATTTTATGACCATTTTTACAATGGTTGTTAAGCAAATCACATGGTCACTAAGTGAATCATGTCATTAAGCAAATCCAGCTTCCCCAATGGATTTTTGCCAGAATTCACTTAATGACCACATGATTCGCTTAACAACCATGGTGAGTCGCTTAATGACTGGTAAAAAAGGTAGCAAATTGCAATCACATTACCACGGGGGGTGATGCGATGGTTTGCGATGGTTGTAAGTGCAAGTACAGGTCATAAAGCACTTTTCCCAAGGCTGTCATAATTTTTGAACTATTAAATGAATGGTTGTTAAGCGAGGACTACCTATATGAAAACAGAGACAAAATTACAAGATTATGTTGTGGGATTTATTTGAAGAAGCGATTGAAGATCAAGTTTCTTAAAAAGAAGAAAAAGGAGTTCAAAGTGGACTTATTTGATCAGAGTCAAATTGTATAAGTTGTGATTCTGGATTGTTACTATTGGAATCTTTTATTATGACCAGGATTGTATGATGAGGATTTAAAGATTTTTTCATATGGGGATAAACTTTCTATGTTCTATTTGTTAGAGAAAGTTATAAGTTTAAAGGTAAAGGGGACCTTTTTGATTTAGTCTAAGATATATATGTTAGTATTTTTATGCCTTTGGGAATAATTCTTTTAAATTTTACTTACTAGCGAAAGTTATAGTTAAAATGCATAATGGATTTATTTGTTTAAGGTTAAAATATATGACATTTATTACTGGTACTCATACTGCTTTTGCTGTGTAAGATTGATGAATTTTTTATAATTTGGCTATTATTAAAGGATGACAAATGGGAAGAAGAGGGTTTTTTTTTTGTAATAATAGACAACTTCTTAAGTTACTGTAAATGTTTATACTTGATTGGAGGAAGGGGGAAGTCACCTTTTATATGTCTTTCTCTATTTTTCTCTCTCTCTCTTTCTCTTTCTCTTTTTTGTTTGTATATCTTTTTTAGTTCTTTACTAACTAGCTTTTATCTATATAACATTTAATACAAATATTATATAGAGATAACTGATCTACCCTGATTGTGGAACTTTTCACAGAAGCAGAGATCTCAGAATTTAATACAAATATTATATAGAGATAACTGATCTACCCTGATTGTGGAACTTTTCACAGAAGCAGAGATCTCAGATTATCAGTGGGTTTGCTGGAGAGTAGAAGCCAATGTAAGCCAAATGGTACTTAAAATCTATCCTCAGAGTTCCAGCCATCGCAGG